ATCTAAGCCTACTACGAGATGCCTTTTCTCTAAGCACATGATACGGATGTGACTGCCCCCAATTCTGGCTTTCAACTCAGATTTGGTTTCTTCTCTCACAAAGGATAAAAAGCAAAGAAATCCGTCTAGAACGCGCAAAATGGAATCTTTCTTTGCCCGATGAACTCCGAAAATGGTCGAGCTGAATAAAAACCATCTAACAAGGAGGTCGTTCAGGGTGTGCCAAGCTTTTTCAAAATGGTTTCTTGCATGACATTGGGGCACATATGGGACCACAGAAGCATGGTTCATTTTTCCTGAACGGCCCTCTGAATACCAGAAAAGGGGTCCCTAGTTCGATTCCTCGTGGTGACAAATTTTTGCATTTCGAGTTGACGTTTCAAAATTCGCGCAAAATGGAGTTAGCATGAATAATTAGTACCAAATTCATGATTAGGAACGTCAGTAACCCTTACAAATAGACTTTGATTGAAAAACTGGTGAAAAAGGTGTGACTAGGGACCCCCTTTTCTGGTATTCAGAGGGCCGTTCAGGAAAAATTAACCATGGTTCTGTGGTTCCCGCATGTGCCCTATATCATGCAAAAGACCGTTTTGAAAAAGCTTGGCACACCCTGAAAGACCTTCCTTGTAAGGGGTCGTTTGCCCACCTTAAATCGATAGCCACCATCATACCAGCAACAATCATGCCTTGATTAAAGGAATCTTCCACGGAAAAAGCTCCGCCTCCATTACCACAGAAAAACGATACCTTAGGCCCCTAGCCTCATGAGCATAGCAAAAAGAACGGAACATAAGCGTTAGTTTCGATAATACTAATCCTACACACAAGACAAAATGATCACTCTTTCCGTGGAAGATTCCTTTAAGGTATCGTTTTCTGTGGTAATGAGGGCGGAGCTTTTTCCGTGGAAGATTCCTTTAATAACGCTTTTTACGGGAAAGTTATAGTATATGCGCTTGAAGTGGTATACCTTATCTGAAAGATCAAAACAGTGATTCTGCTACCAACACGACTGATGAGCTTCACTCGGTACTACTGTTTCCACTGGTGCATGCACTTGCTATGCTTGTACAAACACTTTGTCGTAATCCATTCGCTTTAAGTTCGAGTCAATTAAACATTTTTTAGAAAAAACTTCGATTTCACTGGAGCAATAACAAGTAAAATAATCTGCAAGATCCTCGCCTTGCCAAAGGTGATTCCAACGGTAGCAATCCAGTAACATATGCTGATCGCCATGATAAAGGACAGCGAACGCAAAAGATGTCGTATCCCTTTAACAGTTTGTTGGTGTGCTGAGATCGCTGCAAATACTCACTAGCTGATTTAGCTAAATGAAGACCTGGACAAGTTGCAGAAAATGACAGTAACGCTTTTAGAGACAATCAAATGAGTGTTGTAACATACACTTCAGATTTGCCTGGAATACACCATACTAAATAACAAATTGCAACATATAAGAAACTCCGATGGGCAGCGGTATTTTCAGTTATAAAAACCAGAGGATATGTGAGAAGGAGCCGTTCCAATGCAAAAGAAACTGATCAGCATGCCTTTCCGCTAGATGGCTTTCCTCTCATGGGTACCATGCAGCAGTAGTGATCTCATCGGAGAAGATGGAAAAAGCTCCAATATCTCCGAGGCTCGACTTGTCTTTCTCGACTTAGTCGAATTTTTCCGAAAACTCGAAGATTCTTGAAAAGAAAATGACTCCATAACAATGAAGGAATGATAAAGTCTGATAAAATTCTAACACGTTATATCATGGGAACACTTTCATTTATTTACAGTCGATATCCGAAAGTTGGGGTAGGTGTGTCACCGGAAGTGACGTGCACTTGATAGAAGTTGCGTGGATAAGCTGTTGCCAGCATGCTTTGCTGATATCAGCGATGTATGCTGGAACAGCTTATCCACGCAACTTCTATCAAGTGCACGTCACTTCCGGTGACACACCTACCCCAACTTCGGATATCGAGTCTGTATGGAACGACGCTGGGAGGCAGTTAGAACATTTCAAGGGAAGTATAAGTTATATTCTATTCTATTTTATACCTTATTTCAATAGAAAATTGGGTAAGTGAACAATTATTGTAAGTAATAGGTAAGTGAACATCTCTTATTATGAGTTCTTATTGTGAAAGCAGTTAAAATTAAGATAAATACATTAATTTCCTATTATTTTTATAAACATAAGTACAATGTCCAAAGTCTATTTAACCAATTGGGCAAAAATTGAATTGTAAGTGATTTCAACTGAACTCTTGTCCTCCTTCCCTTACTGATGAGCACAGAGGGAGGAGACTTACTTGTTTAGTCTCCGTCTAAGGGTCACGTGCGAAACGGAGACTAAACGACTTCTTTGCTCACCACCCCTTCAAATAAATATGAACAAACTGAAGAATAATGTTAAATTTCGTTTAAACATCGTTATCAAGATAATAATAAATAGATTAGTTCGATTCAACTTGTTTTTATTGTAAACATAATAACTTCGTTGACTTGACGTCGGTTTTGAGTGCAAGGCTGACCGGGTTAGGGGCAAGACGTTCATTTATGACCGCACTCAAACTCGCACTTATACGCTGGGTTTCCAGGTTCATTGAAAGACCAGGTTTGCTTCGACCGCTATCGCAGGGTAGGGAGGAACCACGGAAGCAGCATGACGTACTCCATTAACCACCTCACTATTGAATGTGTTATACCTCCTTATACCCCTTCTCTCCGGCGCATGGCAGCACCATGTTCTCCTCCCTTTCTCCTCTCCCCCACTTCCCTCCCTCTCCCCCTCCCCTTCTGCTTTCCCCCTCCCCTCTACCGCCCGCCGACTCCGGCTGCCCCGGCAGCACCATGTAGAATGAGGCTGAGTGTGCTCGTTCGGTGTTTTTGTAGCCATTGTGGGTGTTATCACAATCACCACATCAGGTTAGAATAATACGTCAACATGAATATAGACCTTACTTCAAAAACGGTCGTTCTCTCTCAGTCCCTCCTTCCTTACCTCGCCCGCCCTGACACCAGGGTCAACCCTACGTTGTTATAGTAACAACGGGGGGTCGTACTTGGTTGAGTTTGTAGGAGGGGGGTCGTACCCGTTTCAGTCGCTTGAAATCACATGTGGAGTTTGAGGTGAAACTGAAGTTTTTATGGGTAGGTAGGTTGGGTGTGTTGAGGGGCGCAGTTGAGGGGCGCAGGAAAAAAATGACCGGTAGAAGTAAAGTAAAATGGCGGAGATATAGGAAATTTTTACTGTTTCAGAGTAGCTATATATCCCCCGCTCGACGGCATTTTTGGAGGAAAAAGTGGGCGGAGTTTTGTGGGTTGAGCTGTAGAATTGTATCAGAATTGAGTATTATAGAGACGATGATGGTGGTCGAGGTGTGGAAGAGGGGGTCGTAAAAATTCTTCATGACCCTGCCTTACACCCTTCTCTCCGGCGCATGGCAGCGCCATGCTCTCTCTCCCTTTCTCCTCTCCCCCTACCCTCCATCTCTCCCATTCCCTTCACCTCCCTTTCCTGCCCCCTTCCCTCTACCCTTACTCTTTTTCACCCACCCCCGCTTCATCCGGCTGCCACGGCAGCACCATGTAGAATGAGACTGAGTGTGCTCGATCGGTGTTTATATAGCCGCTGTGGGTTTATCATGATCATGACATCAACATCACGAAGTGTTGCCCTTCGTACTCCCTGGTTTTGTGAGCGGTCGGTCCGGACGGACAGAACGACACACGCACACACACAAACCGACACACCAAAGTTCTGGTTTATATAATGAAGTGATATCATGAAAATCAACATTGGATGCGTACAATTTTGTAGCATTTTGGGTATGGGTCGAGTATGGGATCGGTTGGATGGTTTTAACCGATACTGACTCTAAATTCAAATGCATGAATCTCGATCCAAACAACTTCCCGAATAAAAAACAAAACATCAGAATTCTCAAGCCTTTGCCCAGTGGGATCACCTTTGAATGATTCGGCTGCTCAAGGTGTTCTAGCGCCGAAGAACAAACTCTGCGTCCTCAGTGCAGGGAGGCCATCTAGACGTCAGAAGAAATGCTAGCTAAGCAACAGTTTTGCTGACTAAGAGGTTTGCAGCGAAGAATGGTTGCTAAACTGATGAATGATCTTTCGCAGGCTTCGGTTCTGCAGGTGTGCAGTCAAGGCAAATCATGCGTCTAATTCTGAAGAGCTGCGCCTGCCCCGAGCCGCGCACGATCACAGGCCTGATTTGTTTTGGTACATTTTCAGCTTTGGATATTCAATAAATCATACTTTCTACACTGCACGTTACAACGCGATCGAAAAACGGGCTATCCTTGAATGGGAAGTTAGAGGAACATCGGACGGCTCTTTGAAACAGCGTTTTGTTGCGGCACCCTCTCATCGACTTTAAGGGATTTTCAGCCTCCTCCGCGTACATATTATGAAACACTTACTTCAACTGCCGAATTTTCAACAGTTCTATGCACAAAAAGTGTTGTCGAAAGCCTGTAACACCTTTTTTAGAGTCCAACATCGACCTTCACCTTCATAGTTCTCAAAGCTCTCGCTAATTCTAGGAAGGCAATAAACCCTTACTGCACAGGTTATTTGCCGTGGATTCGAGACAAAACACAGAGCAGATATAGCAAACGGCGCCCTTTACGGCCTTATTTGAAATTTGAGATGGGAGATGAAACTAATGCAAATTCACCTTCCGAACATGCTGCTTTCAAGGCCTTGAAAAGGGCGGTGTTTTTCAGTGTAATATTGACAGTAGCTTCAGAATCACACATTTCACAAATGCAAAATTGCTCCAGTTAGCTGGGAATTGATTCCGAATAAAGCATCTAACAAAAAGGTATCAAAATAGGAGATCCTCCGAGCGACCCTACATTTTTTTATAAGGTGTTAGAAAGACAGTTGAATTATACTGGTAAATACACTGACTCGCGTTCGCCTCATTCTACAAATTTCAGAGGAGGGAAGTTTTTGTTTTCTTTTGCATTCTCTCAACATTGCTTTGTCAAGGCAACATTACCGCTTAGCTGGCGGCACTTCACGTGAGCAGCACTGTACACAAAAATGATCGTGAAGCTAATAACATGATTGAAGCCATTCCAGACATGTTGTGATTGCCCCCTGAAGGCGGATGACGGATTGCACACGGCCACTGTGTCACCTGAAACTAAAAACGTTTGTTGTCGTTCCCTGTGGGTAGTCACTATATCTCACAGGCGCTAAGAACGGGCATTTCAGATTTCTAAATTTGCTGTTTGGTTTCCGGTGGACTGACCAACTGGGAACTACAGGGGGGGGGCCAAAAAAAAGACATTTTGCCCAGGTCGCACTTCGGCCTTTTTTCTTCGCAGAGATTGCCGTCGTTGACGGAAGTTCCTCAGCAAATATTCCCTAAATGTCCCTCTATAAGTACACGCAGGCCCTCCTTCACTACCCTCACCGTCTTCAGAATATGACGTCATCTGTCACCGTCGTCGAGCTCAGGGAGGCCTACAGTAACTGCTTCAGCCTGAAGCTCTTACATAATTTCTTGGATCGATTCAACGTGGGATAGTTTCCTAGGGACATTAGCTCTAACTATGCAAACCCCTCGGAACCCGCCCTTCGGAACCCGTCGTAACGGTACACGATCAGTCGAGAACCCCACTGAGCTCGACCAGAGCACCATGTTTCCGGGGCAAATTTTCCTGATGCCGTCCACGTAGATGGCCACTATGAAGATTTTCTTATGAAATGAAATGCGCTCTTCAATTCTAAGTTGGGAGCACACGCTTTGAGCTGAGCAAAGTGTGATTAAATCCATTTGAGTCTGGAGACAAAATGTCTTTTTATTGGCCCCCCTTGTATATTAAGTGGTAGAAGCAAACTGTCGCTGCAGTCCTTAACTCATTATCACAGTGACCCTAGGATATAAGAATGTTTGTCTTCCTGCACATCTTTCAGGAAATTTAGCATTACCAAAAAAAGAAAAACAGTTAAGTTTGGGATGGCTGAGGCATGCAGAAAACATGAATATCGAAACCCTACACACCTCCCCTTACAGTGGGTTGGGAGCTGCAATCGGTACCAGACGCAAAACTTGCAAATCTGACTTCAGATCAGCCTTCAGACAGGGAAAATGGGTGAAGGGCTGACAGATGGCAAAGCGAGATTATACGGGTGGTGGACACGAAGTTCATTAAGTGAGTATTTGCTAGAAAAATGTTCGGGACCGGATGTTAGATAGTTTAGAAACCGAGCCATGAGATAAAATTTGCTTTTGGATCGCGGAAGAATGCGTGAAATGAGCGGAGTGATTAGTGCTCTCAGCTGAACGGCGTGCAACTTAAAGTTTTTGGTTACCCATAATGGATAATCTGTCACCTGATGACTCAATGTAGCCATATCCAATCAATAGCGCAGCAACAGCCAATACAGCTGCCATCATTGCAAGATATAGCATCTTTGGCAACCTACTGTACCTGCAAATTTTTCGAAATATACTAGCAGAATTCGAGAAAAGTAGAAGGAATGGGTCAGAAGTGGTGTAGTGGCAAGTGGCACGCTCACCACGCGAGCGGTCCGGGGATCAAATCCTGGGTCGTGAGTCGCCCAACCAAGCCTTCCATCCCTCCGGGTCGGTTAATTGGTACCAGACTTGTCTGGGAGGATAAAAAACACTGACTTGTACATCGGCTGGCCCCCGCAAGTCATTGTATAGGCCACATCGCATTCAAACGCCACTACGAATGTATTGTACATATGGAAGCACTCTCGCCTTCCAGAAATTGTGCAATTGCAGAAATTGACGTGGCATTGGCACACGTGGCTAAATTCTCGATGAAAAGGTGACATCACGTGTGCTCAAAGATGTTCTTGAATCGATGCCACGTTAACACGTTGACGCCCGCGCCGATTTCGGCGCTTGTCACACATGTGTCATTGGCGGTATTGCGTGCGCGCATACTCGGCGATGCTTAATCTCATATGTGGGACATTTCGTGCGTTTTCGTTGCGGGACCCACATAGCAGATTCGTTGGAAGGGCGCGGGAGCTTTCGTTCCCCTATACCAATTATGAATTTTTCAAGTTTTGCTTGTTACTACGGTTCATAGGTCCAATAAGTGTTTAGCTTGGTTTCGTACGTATTTCTGCGAGCTAGTAGACGTGTTGATTAGGAAAATTTTCCGATAATAGTTTGTTTTTGATTGCCAAAGAAACTCGAAGTCTGAAGCACAAACTGCATGCAAATTTCGTAATTGATGATAAGTTGTTCAGTAGGTAGGCGTATTAGAATCTGATTGTTTGTGTTGAAATTGAAGTTGTCGACATGCCACACGTTCTACGGATTCATGAGACTAACAGAAGTCAATTAGTCAAAGAAGTACTGAAAAAGGTTCATGGGGAGCAAAATACAGATGTGCATACCCGGCGATGCACAAATGTCAGATGTGGGAGTTTCGACGTGCATACCCGGCGATGCACGCGGGCTGCAATGTGTTAATGCCACATCAGTTTCTGCAAATGCACGATTTCTGGTCATTTGAAGGCGAGGGTAGAATGCGTGCCGCATCACAAAAGGGATTGATCAACGGCAAATGCTTTATCCTTTTATCCTTTTACTAGCAGAATTAGCTATGACAGAACAGCAAAGTAAACAAGAAATCAGTAATTGGTAATCGACCGAAAAGGGAAGAACACTATCTGTTCGATCTTCCGTGTCCGAGTATGGCGTTAGAGTGCTCCAAAATTTGGTATGAACAGTGGTGAAGGTCGCAGAACAGATGACGGTAATGAAGTGAAATGAATGTTCGGAGCAATACAGCTATTTTTTATGATTTCTTCATGGTTCATGTAAAATCATATGTAGATATTCACCACAATTGCTTTGGAAATAAATGGAACAATGTGACAATAATTCTGATCCGGGTTGTGCAGGGAAACACTCACAAGCACTACTCAATCACAAATGACTGGCAAGTTTTACGATCAGTCCTGCAATCGATTGTACTCGTACTAACCGGGAAAGGCATTCAACTTCCCATGGAACTTTGAATTGAGACCCAGATATATCGATAGAGCTTCAAACGCTGATTACAAATATGGAAACTAAAACTGCAAAATGAACCTGCCAAGTTGTGAGCAGTCAAATATGGTTGGAATAACGAGGGCACCACACTGCTCCGCGGCGACTCTGAAAGCCTGGGGGCAGCACGGTTCATGTGCAGTGCTTTACTTAGCCAACTTTGACTGCTCACAACTTCCTTGGCAGGTTCATTTTGCAGTTTTAGTTTCCATATTTGTAATCAGCGTTTGAAGCTCTATCGATATATCTGGTCTCATTCAAAGTTCCATGGGAAGTTGAATGCCTTTCCTGGTGAGTAGCGAACAACGGAGCATACCACCCCAGCAGGAACGTCAAACCAGCCCGTTTGACGTTTCTGCTGGGGTGGTATGCTGAATGTTGGGAAGGGATGGGGTCCCCGACGGTCGACGGACTACTTCAACTCGGTCTTTAAACCGCCTCAATTTGATGCTTACCTCAGGACTAAGCCTTAAAGAGAGGACGGACCTGCGAGTCCGTCCTCTCTCCAAGGCTTAGTCCTGAGGTAAGCAAACCAGCCCTTTTGGCGGAGCTGCTGGACCAGCTGCACCACTTGCGTCAGTCACTCTCCTACCGTACCGACCGAGTTCAAGCCCGTAGACAGCAATGGCGCCTACTGTTTTGCTTCTGTCTTAGTTTATGAGAATGCATTCGACATTCGAGCGAAATTTTGTACCATAGGCTATGAGAAATGACACACATGAGTGTTAATGCGCTTCCTTAGGGCGATGTCATAGTTTGCGAATCGAGCGATTCGCTAGCGAATCGAGCGATTCGCTAGCGAATCGCTCGATTCGCAAACTATGACATCGCCCTTACTGTCATCTAAGGCCATTCTCAAAACCTCATATATGCACTTCTGACATGTTTGCGGTTCGGTTGTTATTAATTCGACTGCACAAATAATGCGGAAAGATAAATGGAGTCACGAATCCACTATGACCAATGATACAACACGTGGTGGCGTTTCCATCTGTTCTGAGCACATGGAAATAGTTACACGTCTGTACTTAGTACTGGTATAGAGAACAAGGTAGAAAAGGATAAAGCATTTGCCGTTGATCAATCCCTTTTTGGGATGCGGCACGCATTCTACTTCCATTTGTACATTCGTAGTGGCGTTTGAATGCGATGTGGCCTATACAATGACTTGCGGGGGCCAGCCGATGTACAAGTCAGTGTTTTTATCCTCCCAGACAAGTCTGGTACCAATTAACCGACCCCGGAGGGATGGAAGGCTTGGTTGGCCACGACCCAGGATTTGATCCCCGGACCGCTCGCGTGGTAAGCGTGCCACTTGTCACTACATCACTGCTCCCCATAGAGAAAAAACACATTGAAAATATTAGCTTGCCAGAAATCAAAATTACGTGCGATCACATACCCTATTGGTAGAGAAACGGCAAGCAGTCGGTCAACCCCTAACATCAGGCCGATGCCGCTTTGCACATTCATTGCGAACAGGCCGTATGCAGTGTAAATGAAACAGTCACCATTTGCTTGAAAATACCATCTGTGCCACATCATAATGCGCAGCTGGATCTGGAACAGCAAACAACATTGTCACTGGCATCTCTATTTAGTTGCTAAAACGTAAATACAAAATTTATACTGGAAACAATATATTCATTGGGGATTAGCAAAGTCAAGTCATATTTCTCTTTCAAGTAACCACTACTTGCTTCGAAAAAGGAGGGGAGCCTCTCGAAGGATGCGCTGACCGCGGCGTGTAGATGGACGGCTGCGTCCCAGGCGTTCTGAAGTGGTAGTTTGGTTCGTACCGTAACCAATGTTGCCGAGAAAAATCTTCTGATGTCAGGGTAGAAGGCTAGCATGAAGCTTCTTGATAGGTTGAGAAAGAACTCTGGATTGAACTTGACAAGATGTAATTAATACCGCTCTTAATGCGGAAGGAGTAACTCTTTCTTTGCCCAGTGCATACTGTACAGGGTGGGGCAAAATTACTGGTGCACTAAATTTTCAATGGCATTTTGACAATAATTCTCACAAATCAATTCTAATTATCAATATTATTTACTACAAACATGACAATACAAAAAATGTTAATGCTTCTCAAAATGATCTCCTTTAGCCTTCACACGTTCGACAAATGCTTCGCATGTGGCACGCAGGTACTGGTCATCGATTTCGTCCCAAGATTTTGAAAGCGCCGCCTTAAGAGAGTCCAAGTTTGGATGTCTGGTAGAACACGCTTTGCTCTCCAAGATGGACCACACAGAGTAATCCATCGGGTTTAGATCAGGAGAACTGGAGGGCCATTCGTGTCTGATGAAGTCGGGCAGGTGCTCGGCGCACCACTCCTGGACCATCTTTGCTTTGTGTGCTGGAGCAGAATCCTGCTGGAAGCACCAGTAGGCTTCTCCGAAATGGGAGTTGGCCCACGGCTTGAGAACTTCCTCCAGGATATTTTTGTAAACCTCTGCGTTGATTTTTACACCAGCTTCAACGAAAACAAGTGTAGAGGTGACTCCTCCCCAAACAAGAATGGACTGGGGGTGTTTCGCTCTTTCCTGGAGTCTTGCCTTGGTGGTAGCATCAGCAAGTGATCCTGCAATAATCCTCTCATTTTGGGAGTTGAAGGCTGGATTCAGAGTAAAAATCTTTTCATCACTGAAAACGATGTCTCGGGCGCGTGCCACCGTGAATCGCTGCAGCAACTTCTTGCATCTCTCCAATCTCCTTTTCTTCATAATGTCCGTTTTCTTAGCTTACTTCTGACAATCCTCCTCATTGACCTCGCGCTTACTCCAACGTCTTTCGCCATCTGGCGCATCGATCTCCTGGCGTTCCTTCGAATTCTTTCTCTGACGAGCCTCACATTTCTCCGACTCGTAGCTGTTGTGGGACGTCCTCTTCCTTCCCTGTCCTCTTCGGTCTTCAGTTCTTTATAGCGTCGTACTGTATTCTGAACCGTCCTTCGAGGTACGGAAAGGATCTTCACAATTTCTCTTGTTTGCTTGCCGTCGTTGTGAAGTTTGATGATCGCGCTCCGTAGGTCAGAACGACGGACCATTTTGTATTCGAGTACGTAGGAATTACGCAACCTCCAGGCAACATATCACAAGCGAGTGAAACAGGAAAATCTCCAAGAAGTGTTAAAAAATTCAAAACGTATAGGTGCACCAGTAATTTTGCCCCACCCTGTAATTGTTATTTACTTCTGCAAAAACAGGTGGTCTCATAACTGCAGGTTCTAGTATCTGCAGCTTCATGTTCAGTGTTAAAAGGTCTAGTTAACGGCTGAGCGCGGCTTATTTCTATAACTTTTACAGTATTTTGTATACTGTTGGCTTTTATACTTGAACTCTGATGTTTTTTGAACGCGTTTAAAAATTTCCCAATTTTGAATTCATGAAGAAATAATAAATCAGACCAGTGACAGCTGGGTTTTGGAACGTCTCCACTGCATGAACAATCAGTGCCTCAATTCCTGCCTGAGATTCTCCCAAATGCTACGGAAACTATTGAATTTTTCGGAGACATACATATAGGTAACAGGAACTTCCAAAATCAACTATAAGTTCGTTAATTGTACTCTGGCATCTCTAACTTCATAAAGACGCACCAGATAGATGCACACGACGAGATCGGTAATAGCAAGTACGCACATCAGAATATTGCAGCGGTTTTTCAGAGTTGGAGAGATAATAGTGGCCAGAATTACCATGCAGTTACCGAGTAGGCCAATTACGCAGAGGGCTGATGTTGCGATTATTGTCGACATAGGTACCAACTCCATGGAGGTGCTCGCCTTCGTTGTCATCGTCGTGCTGGTTGAAATGTAAGGAACCGCAACCTATAGAGTATTGATTAAGCTGCTGGAATTCGGACGCTTCATAAGTTTACATTATGAGTCTGGAATATCTTACAAACGAGATGCGAGCTTATGATCATCCAACAAGAGGAGAGGAGAGAAGCTCATCCAACAAGAGGAGAGGAGAGAAGCTTAATGTTGAAAAAATTCTCTGGCCGCCTCTATGAAATGAATATTGTAGACGCTTCGAGATTGCGACACCTTTACCACCTACATACACTGCAACGCATAATTATAGTTCCACCTACAAATTTCCCAAAAACTTGAATCTGGGGATGTTTTTGAAAAAGGCTCTACAGACAAATTGTGACACATATAAACGCGAATCTGAATATTAACACGGAAATCCAGTTTGAGAAAGCAACAATTTTTTATCCTCATTTTTTCGAAAATACCCGCTTGCCTATGACGCAAAATCATAGTTCCACCTCATGTTTCTCTGCTGCATTTTGCTTTTACCCAATCAAATTTTTGAAATTATTACCCATTCAAGTTCCTTAGCTTATAGCAAAGGCAAAACCGCTGTCAACTTCCGTAAAAGGAAAATCCTAGCAAAAGAGACGCAGGAATTGTGAAGTGTCAGCTCACGCTGGAATTTGTCGGGGTGACTTCATAACGAACAAATTTCTCAAGGATGCTACAGGATATGATTCTGGGAAGGAACCCTGATTACTATCCGACCGAGATAAGCGCCGTATCGTGAGAAAATAATACGACTTTATCCAGCCGGGTACGGAAATCAAAACTTCTTCAAAAGTTAGTGTCTCAATGGAAGCAGTTTCACGTGTTTTACAACACGCTCGTGACAGTCCATGTCTGGAAAATAAGAAATACACTTTCTTGTCAGAAGGGGTCATAAAGAAAAACGAGCCCACTTTCTTCGAACACTTCGACAATTCCTGCGTCCCTTTCGTCTCTTCTGCGCTAGCATTACCCTTTTACGGAAGTCTGACAGCGGTTTTGCCTTTGCTATAAGCTAAGGAACTTGAATGGGTAATAATTTCAAAATTGATTGGGTAAAAGCAAAATGCAGCGGAGAAACATGAGGTGGAACTATGATTTTGCGTCATAGGCAAGCGGGTATTTTCGAAAAAATGAGGATAAAAAATTGTTGCTTTCTCAAACTGGATTTCCGTGATAATATTCAGATTCGCGTTTATATGTGTCACAATTTGTCTGTAGAGCCTTTTTCAAAAACATCCCCAGCAAGTTTTGGGAAATTTGTAGGTGGAACTATAATTATGCGTCGCAGTGTATGTACGTCAGCGTGCGCCATATCGGATATCTCTAATCAAAATAGCGGATATTCACGCTAATTATAGTCCCAACCAAGGGCGCTCTTAAGCTGGCATTTTTGTTTAACGGCAGGCTGAATGCGTCCCTGGGGGGCGAAAAAAAAGCGCTCTCCTATCGGACCTCTGAAGTCTGTTCCGCTGTATCGATAGTATCACGCGCCAGTCCTCGAAATTCTTGATATTTCGTGTACTATGAGCAGTTTGCTGTTCTGCTATGTTTCTGAGTCTTCAGTTATTCTCCGCAAGGGAAACCCTGAGGTTTTTGAGAATAGGATCCTTTCTTCCTCACGAGCAGTCCTGAACCTATTGCTCTGACGAGATCTGTGACCGCATGACATGAGCTGATAGTCAGAATCATCTTGGAAAACCTAACAAGGGAAGGATACCAGGTGGAAGTGGCCATTTGTAGCGACACATATACTACTGGAATGTGTTTTGAACGCTGATCTTGGATCTGCTCTCCAAATCTGCGGAGCGATTCTCTGAACGTAGTTATGAAGCGGAATAGTGCAGTGGTCAGCGGCCCGAGCCGACGAACAGTAGATCCTCCTGGGATTCGACTTCTTGGAAGAGTTATTAGCTTTGCTTTTAGAGAAAATTGGTTAGAGGATCTCACTCATGCTAAATTATCAACGACTACCTATCCTTGCAAATGGGTAGAGCTGGCGAAGAGCTTCGAACACTATGCGCGTCATTTGCCGTTTCCATTCGGTCGTGTGTGCCCAGATTTTCAACTTCAGGTCAAAGTTTTAGATTTGGACCAAAAGTCCTCGGAAGGGGTAGTCTGACACGCTGAACAAGAATATCATATCTGTTCGGCACGAAAGTGCTTGACACGTGCGCTACGAGTACCAGAGACGGTCATTTTGCGCGCATAGTGTTCGAAGCTCTTCGCCAGCTCTATCCACTTGTAGGATAGGCAGTTGCTGATGATTTAGCATGAATGAGATTCCTTCAAACAATGTTCTCAAGAAAAGCAAAGCTGATAACTCGCCAAGAAGTCGATCTCACGACCTATTGTTCGTCGGCCCGGGCCGCTGCCACTGCACTATTTCGCTTCATAACTACGTTCAGAGAATCGTTCCGCAGATTTGGAGAGCAGATTCGAGATCAGCGTCCAAAAACACATCTAGTGGTGTAGGTTCGTTACAAATGGCCACTTCGACTTGGTATCCTTCCCTTGTGAGACATTGATCTGATCCTGAATTGATCTTCTAGATCTATAGGCGACTATCCACATAGATCTACAGCTCAAAATTCCGATTTGGATGGATTCTAAACAAAGTATCCTTCTATTTTATAAAGCGCTAACTTTGTGTGTCGGTTTGTGTATCTGTATGTGTGTGTGTGTATGTATGTATGTGTGTCCGTCCGCAAAATGAAGTGAGTGAGAAGGAAGCTCATGGGATAAACAAACCGCTAACAAATCGGGTAGCTTACAGGATTTGAGATATCAATGTTTTGTAGCAGGATAGTTGTGATAACACTCTCAGGGCTATATAAACACCTGCTTAGCACACTTCCGTTCATTCCACATGGTGCTGCAGTGGCAGCTGGAGGGCAGTGGAGAGAGGAAGGGAGGATGAGGAAGGGAAGCGAAAAATCTACCGTCATATCATGATTGTGTCCCTTCTACTGTTTGAAACACCATTGTGTTGCATACGCGTCACTTCCAGGAGGTGTTGGTGTCACAGGAGGAAGGGACCATAGCGGAGGATAGAAAGCTTGCGCAGGAAAGGAAGGTCCCGGCGGTTGACGGGGGGACTAATCTGGTAACAGAAAAAGATAATATTTAATGCTGGAACTAATGAACTACTCTCGTATTATGAGGGAATACGATATGAAGAAGAAGGAAATCAGCAAATCAGAAATCAGAAATCCAGCCGCACACACACAAATATTATTATTTTACTTTGCCTTTGGTAAAGATTTACGTCGTGCTTTCGAATTGTGTGATTACTTCCTGTTGAAATTACTTCGCAAAAATTCACATATTGTAGCGAACGCTTTGTTGAACAAAACTAACGAAGCTAGCATGACTTATGATACAAAATCTAGCAACAAATCAGTTTATGCTGTTGTACGTATTCCTTTTGTATTCGCTCAGAAACGGTGTTTTCTTCAACATCCTACAAAGAAGGTAAATTTTGCTGAGAATGCATGCGAGGGTTATGCATTTTGTCTTGTTTTTGTTTCTTAGCATTGTGCTGTCCCGGAGCCCCATCAGGACATAAATGTTGTGTAAAACACAACGAGGCACCAAAATTTATTTCAAAGATTTCCAAAATTCCAAAATCAAACTGAAAAGAATTCCTGTGGAATACTTGCGATATTTCGGTGTATAATACCTTCGTCAGGCATGGTTTGCCAAGCCAAGTGTAAAGCTGCCCTTACGGGAGCCGCGCCGTTGGACTATAGTTAAATGTTTTAAGCGCGGCTCTCGTAAGGGCAGCTTTATACTTGTCTGTGGCAAACACATGCCTGACGAAGTTGTTATAAAGCGGAATATCGCGGAGGATTTCAAAGGAGTTCTTTTCATTTTTCCTTTTTGGTTTTGAAATTCCGGGATTCTTTCAGATACTTAAAAGAATTTTTGAGTCTTAGGAATTCTTTCAAAATGGAGTTTTAGTGCCTCTTTGTCTTATGCAACATTTGTTTTTGTTTGTTAAGGCAAAACTTTCGCCCCAGACGGGACTAGAACCCGCACCTCTCGCTTTCCGGGCAAGTGCGCTACCAGTTACGCTACCGGGGCACCATTTCATTCCAACTCAGCTCTTCATAATATGCCTATCGTAAGAAGTTTTGTTCGCAACCCAGCATTCTTGTGGAACACTTACAAGGTCAGCAGACTAACTCCCTATAATGAGACTTCTCAATGGAATCCTGATTGAAGGAATTTGTTACGTGAGTCCGAGAATACGATAGAATGCTTACCTCACTCGAAAGTACACAAGATAGTGCCCAGTGTTCTAACCAAGATCAAATGATGCGTCGAGGAAAACTTTCCTCTCCAGTAACGGAGAATGTCATGTCCAACTCTTTCTGCATACAGACGCCCAGCAAACAGACGTGGTTGCTATTGCAAGGCATGCGTTGACCTTGGAGTAACATTTACTAGAGAAACCCTCGAAAAACTGAGCACTGTTCAGATGACCACAGTTTCTCCATAGTGAACGGATTTTCTATCTGAAAAATCTGTGTTTCTCGACCAATGCTTTTTTATTTACCCTGAATTTGTGACAAGTGGTCACAAAAATCATATTAGGGCAAGTCAACGAGGAAACATCCTGAGAAGCACGAAATTCATAACCCCAAAACCCATAAGGTCCTCTCTATATATTTATTATTAATTTAAAAAGAATTGGGTTGGCCAGAAAAGTGCGATACTTTGAATTTGAGAGTCGCTAGCTATTCAAAGACGAATTGCGCCCAATGTTGATCTACGTTAAGGAATACTATACCCGGTGAGTATTGCGAACATAAAAAGACTCTCTGCAACGGAAAAGCAGCTATGGATTCTACAAGTCCGAGTATCCTTCGACCCATCGTCTATTATGAATTCCTACAAGGGCATTCTGCAAGAGAAGCAGCTAATAACATCTGCGCTGCATTCAAGAAGAGATGTGGTACACCATTCCACTGTTAGTCGTTGGTAACACCGCTTCGAGTCCTTCGATATTTCTATCGAAGGTTAGGAACGTCCCAAACGCCCATCAACTCTTCAAGATGATGACTTACGCAGGGCTTTGATCTTAAAGCCTAAGATTACCATTCGTGAATTAGCAACGACACTCGGGCGCAGCAAATCAACCATCAGCAATAGCTTTGCCTCTCTTGGATTCCGCGAAATTCTTTCCACATGGGTTCCTCACGAACTCAGCCTGTCGTGTAATCATTGCCGAGTCATTGCTACTTCTACTAGCTTTTATGATGCAGCTAGAGGACAAGCGCGACGACAGAAGACAAATGCATCGCCCTTTTCCTTATGAGGTGGACGGTTTTGTGAGTACGCACCTCGCCACACATGTAGTTTTGTACAGACCCTTACAACATGAATCGGAAATGTACGATCTATGAGAGGTGGCTCATCTCCGTCGTTGACATTCTTCACCACATTAGCACGGAGCTGAACTTGAAGCCTTCCATAAGAAAATGACGAAATTCGCT